TAATTATAAACCCATGGTGATGTCTGGAGTTTTAAACCCTGTGCATACCTTAGAATTTAAATTTTTGAAAGGTGAATAAAATTATATTGTTTCTCACAATCCATAATTAGTTTTATTCAAACTACAAGCCTGAGTATTTTTAAATTTCTTCATCATGTAGTCTCACTAAGTTTTTTAGTTTAGTATTGCTAGTATATGTGTGTATGTGCGCATGTGCGTGCAGGTGTAATCCTTGCTATTAAAAACAAAACTCTTTAAAACATTTTTTTGAAACTACAAAATGGGCTTACTTTGTAGTTTTAAGTAGAAGGTGTCATTAGCTAAGAAACAACTACAAAAAACGGTCCTTTCACTTGGCTCTTGGCTCTGGATTTTCTTCTCTTCGCCTTTCCACTGTTGCCCTGGTGAAAGAAATCACTTCTGAGTGCACTGAGTGATTTAACAACCTGAAACTGCAGGAAGCTGGAATTTGTTTTTTACCGTGTTCTTCCCCATTCCACTTTGTTTACTCACCTTCCTGAGCTGATGCTCTGTCCTCAGGCGGGCACCCTTCTGACTTGGAACTGAAGTCATTCCCAGAGCCCACCTTTCACAAGCCGGTAAAATAAACACTCCCAAAGAAACATGCTTCTTAGAACAATTAATTACAGGAGATCAAAAAGGCAACATTTCTCCAGAGCAAAGATGAGAAGGCAGGAAGAAGTAGAAGATTGGGACTAAAGAAATCCTGGAACCAGGGCGGAAATGCGAAGCGTCCTGATGCCAGGTGGGGAGTGCCTGAAACTATAGTGCAGATTATCAGATTGGAAACTGATTTGTTCGGTAAACTTTCAACGATAATACAGTGCAACAAACATTTTTTTTTTAATTTAGGATCTGTCCAGTCCTAAAGAAGTGAATAATGTGGAAATAGCACTCAGGACCTGAGGCGCTATGAATGATGGGAGGAAGGGCTGTAAGGAAAAGTGAATGCATGCAGCGGTGATATTGTCTTCCATGCATCCCAATTACTGACTTTCTCACCAGACTGTGGTATTTATTCTCAATGAAAATTCATAGTATCACGGCATCCTTTACATGAAGTTCTTTTATCAAGAATAATTTCTTTTGATCTTTTCAAGTGGCAAATATTTCTATTCTCATTTTATAATCAAAGAAGCTGAGCTGTCCAAAGCTCAGAATAAACCACAGATGATGTATCTCTGGCAATGTATAATTTTTGTAAGGCGTTAACTTGTTAGTCTACTATGCAAAAAATCCAACAAGACACTGATGCTGTCTTGTTTTTCCCACTGGAAGAATGAAATTAAGTCCTGAAGTCTGCTGAGATAGAGAAAAAGTGCATAAAATCAAGCTATAGAGATGGGGAGGGAACGTGCTAGCACAATTCAGGAAGGCAAGAGCAGTTATTATTATTCCTGCTTTGTACACATGAGCAGAAAGAGTAATAACATCTCCAAAATCACAAAGTTAACTGAGCAAGGTGGACCTTCTAACTGGTTTGCAAAGGCTTTCGTCAGGAACTCTGCAATTCCTGGCATTATCTCATCTCCTTGCTCCAATCCCTAGTGTTAAGTTCCCCCATGTTCTGACACATCATTCCAAAGAAATGAATTTAGACACTGGATGATCATTTCAAATGGAAAACAAAAGTCAAGCGGGAACTCCAAAGGTCTTTCATGCCCCCAATCCCCAACCCCTGGTGAAAGACCCAGATACCAACTACCAAGTGAGTTATTCAGTAAATGGCACCAGATCAATACACAGGAAAGTCAGCCCATCCATGCTGGGGTGGGGATGGGCAGGGTGGGTTGTGTCTCCAGCTAAAGATCAGAACCTGCTCAGCAGCATGGCAAACTCACCGTGATCCCTTTAGTGGAGATGTAGTCAGGGTCCTAAAGAGAAAGAAAATGCCCTCTATCTTCTTGATCTCTCAAAGTTGTGTAAATTCCATGCTGGCTTCCAGTCAGGAAATCTCCTACCCCAAAAGGGGAGGCTAGCATCTACTAGAGAATACCTTGTCATCATCCATCCTGTGTCCATGCTTTACACTCTGTTAACTTAAACTTCAGTTAGGGCCACTGAGAGACCCCAAAGTTCTTTCCTTGGCCACCCATGTTCACAGACCTGTACTGTAAAATATGAAATTATTTAAAGATAATAACAGTTGCAGAAATCTGTTGCTGCATAGCAAACCACTTGCACATTTAATGGCTTAACACAAAGCTCTTTCCCTGCCTCTCCCATAAGTTGATGGCTTGGGTTATTCCAGGTTGTTTCCCTAGAGTTACAAGCAGATGGTGATGGAACTGAATCATTGAGTCATGGCGCGCTAGTGAGTGTGTGTGTGTGTGTGTGTGTGTGTGTGTGTGTGTGTGTAGGGTGGTGGATACTGAGCTCCTCCCCCTTGCTGGGAATCTGTCTCCAAGTGGTCTCTTCACAAAGATGGGCTTTGCACATACTACCTCAGGGCTCTAAGAACAATAAGCAAGTTTAGTCCTTGAACCGACTCAGGAATTCTGCGTTCTCTTGGATTAAAGCAGCAAGTCCAACCTGCATTAAACATAGGAGGAGACAATAAAAGGATGTAAACTATCAAAGGTGCTGATTCACCATGGACCATCCTTGGAAACTAGCTACTGGCGTCACCACAACTGCCAAAAAGGAAAAGATCCTATGTTCACCTTGGCAGGACATCACAGATTTCCTGTATACTTTCCTTTATATTTTGAATGAGGGACAGGCTACTTACTCCCCATAGGCCTTGATTCAAACGCCACCAGAAGAGAAATCTCAACAGCAGAGAGTTCGCGCAATATCCCATAGTGTTTTCGGCTGTAGAGAACTGGTCTTTTCTTGGGTATATTCCCTTCCGACACACCATTCTCTCAACTGGATTTTAGACTCCAGATTCCTCCTGGCCCTTGGATGGGTATAAGGAATTCTGTGAAATGATAATTGAAATGGTAACCATATGTACATCCATCTGGGTTCTTGGTGGGGGTGGGGAGGAGACCCCTAACCTTCAGACTATTATCTATACCAGTGGTTCTCAACCTTTGGGTCTCCACAACCCCTTTGGGGGTGGAATGACCCTTTCACAGGGGTTGCCCAATTCATAACAGTAGCAAAATTACAGTTATGAAGTAACAGGGAAAATAATGTTATAGTGGGGGGGGGTCACCAAGTGTACACAACATGAGGAACTGTATTAAAGGGTCATGGCATTAGGAAGGTTGAGAATCACTGACCTAAGCCCTAAATTCTCCTTAGAGTCTAAGTAGAATTTAAAGAAAGGAGTCATTCAGGATGCTTAGACCTCTCAAAGAGAAATCCTCTTGATTCTTGTCTCCTATTTCTGAAGGATCCCCCTAGCTGGAGATGGGGAAACAATGCACATTTTATATATTTGCATTTGAAACAAGCTTTGCCAGCAGGCTAAGCAAATCAAGCCTACCAGGTGCTCTGCAGGAGAAAGACGAGGCTATTTGCTCTGGATTTACAGCCTCAGAAACCCAACATAGGGTCACCATAGTTAGGACTGACTTGTAGGCAGTGGGCTTGATTTTCTGTGTTACTACCTAGGATTGGTTGTGCCTTAACAATTTCAGCATGTAGCTCTGTCCCAAACTAAACCTGGTGATTAAGTATGTTTCTTTATAAGACTTTTAGTTCTTTGCTCTAATGATTTTATTTTCTCTCACCTTTTTCCTATTTAACCTCTCCCTTCGTGACAATTTGTGTTAGAGTTGCCGCCAGAAGCAAAAACAAATCTCAAGCAGGCCTAGTGTCAAAGAACTTGAAACTGAGCAGGGGAGCCCCTCTGCTCTTTTTAATGATCTCCTCAGAAGTCATGCTTCTGAGAACTCAGCTCAGGTGGAACCACCTGCATGAGATTAAGCTTTTGAGCACTAGAGGCAAATTGTTTGGATTAAATTGTAAAAATTTCCCTGATATACAATTTTATAATATAATTTTATAAGCCCGGTTTAAGATTGCCTTTGTAATGTCTTCCAAAACAAATGTACATTTCCTTGCTTACATCTTATCTTTAACATTCCTAGCATCCGGGGATTGCTTCTAAAAATCATATGAAGCCAAACATTTCCTCTCCAATAGCTGTCCCACACTCTTCTTCAAGATAGATGCTTGATCCTGGACACCAATTTAACCTTCCTACTCATAGACATCAAGTTGCTCACCCTCTGGGAGACTTGAATCTTTACAGACCAGTCTTTCTTGGGTGGACAACGGGTGGGTCTGAAGAGCCGACCATGAGGTTAGCTACCCAACGGCCTAACCCACAGTGCCACCAGGGAGAATTATGGAACATTATTTACTACCAGAATTTAAATTCCCACAATACCTGCAGATATAAACACCTTAGAAGAAATCACAATGCTAAGCTCCCCCAGGTGAGGGTTTGTGCCTTTCCTCCTCATTGGAAATGGGACAATATCTTCCATTCCATTGAGGCTTGCTCAGACACAAGCTCTATACTATGTGGAATGACATGAAGGGACAGGGAACACGTTGAATGCCCAACTGTATCAAATTGTGTCCATGTGAAACACTTGATGAAAACAGCAATTCAGAGACTCCAGGACCCGACTCCCTACTTAGAATGCTGAGTCTCAATTTTCTCCTAAAGGTATAATCGCGATGTTCTATGATGTGCCATCAGGTCAATTTGAACTCATAGCAACCCTGTATAGGGTTACTAAGGCTTTATAACCATTACAGGAACAGCCTCGCCTTTCTAACGAGGAGATGCTGATGGGTTTAAACTGCACACCGTCCAAGTGCTTACCTGATAGAGCTACCAGGGCTCCTTGAGGGTAGTTAGTATTTGTAAAATGACATCATGTATATGTACTTCAACCAAGGACTCTTCTTTCAAAGCTTTAAGAACTTCAGGTGTCAGGAAATGTCAGACAGTCAGCATACAATACCCTATACACTACGGAAATGAGACTCCGGTTCAATAAAGGTAAAAGCCATGATGTCAGTTTTGTTTTTATTAGTTTCTGTGATTCCTTCAAGTTTTCTTAAACCCAGTAACATTTCCAAAGTTTTAGACATGTGAAAATTAAAGGCGAGTTTAGTATTGAGAAGGGTGGAAAGATTTCTGGTGTAACAAAACAATAAAAAAATCAAATTTTCCCCAAACCCCTGTACGCAGGTCTCAAGGTTGCTATTTAGTAACCGGGAAACCAAAACCACTTGGATGCTGCTCTTTAAAGGGAGAGAATAGAATTGAAAAAACTTACATATAAGATGAACCACTACATCAGAGAGTAAGACCACCTAGAATGTACGGCAAGGGGGCATTCCACGGGGTTCTTTTTCTACCCAAATCCATTTAAAACTAACGAGGGTACCCCAATATTCATTTTCACAACTTCCTTTGGAAACCATTTGGATGTACCTTTAAAGAGAACGAGAATCTATGGGACTATTATAATAAAGGTCACCACCAAAGTATTTTAAACCTTAATAATAACATTGATTTAAGACAGCCTTTACTAAGTATGCAAAGTGAAAACAAAGATTTCTTTTTATTTTTTTAAGCTTTAAGAAACACACCCACAACAAAATCTCTTTGATCATTAAACTTTCAGGAAATGAAGCCGACTGCTCTGGGGCACGTACAAATCGGGTCACCTTAACTTAGAAATGAGGCTGACAATTCCACTGCGGAAAGTAAATCTCTGGACTAAACTTGAACCGCAACTTCCCATACCTCCCAAAATGTTCAAGTGGTAGAAAAATAAATTACCATAAATTATATGCTAAGGCAATTTGAAAACAAGAAAATAACCAGAACAACTTAAGGCTGAGGATTTCCTTAAACCTCCAGGAAGTGTGTAACACTGTTTGTGCCTCTGGCCGGTAGGCTTGGCAGCTCGGGAGCCATCAAACGTCAGGATAGTTGCAGTAATATACGGCAGAACTGGCATCAGACACCACTGAGGAGAGGGCCCCATGACTGTCCGGGAGAGTCACACTCGAGTCGTGCCCCTGGTAGGGGTGGCCCATCTCGGGCTTGCACACAAAGTGCAGGTATTGTTCAAACTCCGTGCGGTCCACCTCCCCGAGGAGACTGGCTGGCTGGTTCGGGTCCCCGCTGTCCCGACAGGACAGGGTCTCCGGAGGGGGCGATGGCTGCCCAGGCCCCGCAGGGTGCTGAGCAGGGGGCTGCACCTGGAAACAGCGCGCGCCGCCCGCCGGGGGCGGCGAGCCCAGGGCGCCGTAGTACATGTGCAGGGCGCTGGGGGGCGTGAGGAGGCCCGGCAGCGCAGGGCCCGCGGGCTCCGCGCCCAGCCTGGAATGCAGGGGTCCGGCGGGCGCCTCTGGGTGTCCTGCGTAGTCCGAGGCCTGCGGGTAAGTGTAGGCACCCGAGGCCGCTGGGCAGTCCACGGGCAGCGGGGCCGCGAAGAAGGCTGCGTCGGGCTCCACGCCGTCCAGCGGGGACGTGTCGGGCGTGGGCAGCGGGTAGCTCTCGAGAGGGGGCGCGCCCAGGCCCTGGCAGTCGCGGTAGTGGCCGCCCATGTGCGGGGGCAGCAGTGGCGGGCCAGCGGCGAAGCCTTGCTCCGCAAAGGGCAAGCCCAGGCCCTCCATGGCCCCGCGACCACCGTCGTGGCCCAGGATGGTGGACTGGGGGTCGGCGAGACCGTGCAGGAAGCCTCCCTCCACCCTTTTCAGTCGCTTCACCTGCTTGCGGCGCCGCGGCCGGTATTTGTAATTGGGGTGGTCCTGCATGTGCTGCACCCGCAGCCGCTCGGCCTCCTCCACAAAGGGGCGCTTCTCCGCCAGCGTCAGCGCCTTCCAAGACTTGCCTGCGGGCAAAGAAGCAGAGGTTATCCGCGCGCTCCGCGCCCCCGGCACCCCCCCCGAGGGGGGCACGGTCAGGAGGCAGAGTTAACGGTCTGGGACCCCAGCTCCCCAAGGGACTTCCGTCCATGATGTAAGCAAGCTAATGTGGGTCCTTAAAACGGCTCTTCTTTTTTCCTGGAGACCCCGGCTCTCCCATCTCGTCCCCCCACCCCAGTTTTCTCGGAACAGAAACAGGGCCCACAAGGGGTGAAAGGCTAGGGGATGGGGCGGACCCCTCCCCGGAATCACTGGACCTTCGCGTTCCAGCCATTAGGGCCGAAGATCAAAGCCAATTGGAGAAGTTGGGAGTCCGGGTACAGGGAAGGGAAGGGAGGTGGACGGAACCTATAACTGGGTCTAGGAACTCGGGGTTCCCTAGCCTCCATTGACGCCACGACCCCGCTAATGCGCGCGGGGCCCGGACTCACCCAGCATCTTGCTCAGCTCAGCGTTGTGCAGGTCCGGGTTCTGCTGCGCGAGCCGCTTGCGCTCGTCCTTCGCCCACACCATGAAGGCGTTCATGGGCCGCCGGATTCGGGACTCGCCCTTGGCCCGACCCGAGGCCCCGGCCGGCGCGCCGCTGGCCGCCGCCGCCGCCTCGCCTTTCACCTTGCCTTCCCCGAGGGGGCTCAGCGCCTCGGCCCACGGGCAGGGGCCCAGCCCCGCCATCACCGCCGGCAGCACGCTGCGAGCCTGGCTCTGGTCGTCACTGGCGTATCCCGCATCCGGACTACTCATGGCGCTCCAGGCCACCCCCTTGCCCGCAGCCCTCGGCTCGGACTCGCTGCCTCCACGGCCCGCGGGGGGCGCCTGCCCTCGCTCAACGGAAGAGAGTGCGGGCGACGCCGCCGAGCCGGCCACCACCCCGCCGCCTACGCTCCGGCCCCGCGCAGACCCGCAGCAAGACCCGCAGCAAGACCCGCGTCTCGGTGCTACTGGATGGCCCCGGGTCAGCGGGGCCTTTTCTGCTGAGCCGCGGCCAATGGAGCCCCGGGGGCGGGCCGGCAGCCGCTCTTAGGCCCACGCCCAGCCCGCAACCCGAGTTCCCAGTCCGGGTTCAACCCCGCGCCCCCTCCCCTTTCCCCTCCCCTGCTCCCCACCCCACCCACTTCTGCCCCTTACATCACCCCACCCCCCAGCCCGCGCTTCCAGGCTACACCTGTCCTGGGGAAAACTGGCTGGAGCTGATGCCAGTGCCAAGTGCCCTCCTCTTGCAGAGACTTAGGGCAAACTGTCTGAAGTGCTCCCTGCAGGGCAGTTCTGATGAACGAATGAAGAACCTATGTAAGGAAAGCAAACAACAAAAAAGTAATTACATTCATATATGCTGTCAAGTAGATTTTTATTCATAGCCACCCTTTATGACAGAGGGGTACTTACCTATTTAGCCCAAACCCACAGCCAGCAAATTGACTCCACTTCATAAGGACGCTAGGTTTTCAATAGCCTTGGCATGGAGCAGATAGCTTTATTTTTCACCCTCATCTTTCTGGCCGCTGGTTGGTTTGAACAGCTGGTCTTGTGGTTAAGAGCTCAATGACTAACCCACAACCACACCAAGGCTCCTTAGCACCATTACTTAGGACCTCTTAAATCAAACCTTTGTGACGGCAGCAAAAAGCACTTCAGGGGTCAGTTAGCTTTCTTCCTGGGAACTACAGGAGCATCTACTATATAAATGGGGAGGGACCCATCCCCCTTGAAGATAGCTATGCTCAGAGCATATCTCTTCCTATACCCTTTCTGTACACTGTCTGGTCCCATCCCCCCTTTAAAACCATGTACATGGTTTGCATTCTCATTTAAAATACTTTTTAAGAATAAAGAGTTCTGAGGGAGAAGAAAAAACTTTCTTTGGGATACAAAAGACACTTGGTAGAAGATGGAGAAGGAGAAAGAATAAATTGACTTTCAAGGGCTCCAATTATTTGCATTATGTTCAAAATGTAATATCCTTGGCATTTTCTAAGGAAAAGATTGAATATGGAATAACATATCCAGTCACCCATCCGGAAGAATTTAAAGACCTTTCTCAGAATGATCAACCAATCCTTGAATGCTTTTACAAGACATGTATAATAAACATAGTAAAACTGTTCCTTATATGTGTTCACGCACACAAAAAAACAAGACTTGGGGCACCATTATGGCCTCATGGTAATGGTCTCTCTCATCCTGATGCTTCCTGGTTTGTCTGTCTCGTTTAAACTTAATATAAAGGGTCTCTTTGTATACACATACAAACATGTATATGTGTGTGTATCAAGATTTACTCTTTTTTTCTAAAATATGATCATTAAAAAAAATCCCCAAACCAGTAGCAACATTTACCTAAATAGTCTTCTGCATTTACAGTGGGAAATCCTTTTCAGTGTGGTTGTAAAACTAGTCCTTCTACAGAACTAGTCCTTCTACAGTACTTACAGCATGCTGCGCACTCCAAGCATTAATTAGTAAACTAGCTCATGCCATTAACAAGTTAGATGCTATTGTATCTGATAGGGTGCTGTTCTACACAAGGGGAAACTGAGGCACAAAGGTTCAGGAACTGAACCCACAAAGTGGGGGCTGGGAGGGGGGGAGTGGAATTCACACCTGGTAGTCTGCCTCCAGAGCTCTTTAGCGCTCTGTGCCAGGTTGTTGTTTGTGTATTTGGGTTGTTCTCTAAAGCAACTAACACAGTCATTCCTGCATAATTAGAGATAATTTGGCAAAAGAAATCAATACATTAATCTTCAGAACAAATTTTCTTTGTGTACTCAGAAGGTGTAATGAAAAAGCAGTACTTACATGCAAGATCTGACGGCAACAGGGACAGCTCTTAATGTGTTGTTACGTGACAAAATCATTGGTCAAAACCAAGTGCACAGCAACCCTTGGCTAACCCGGGGTCTTTTCTTCAATTTCATTGATGCTGGGTTTGTTTCCTCCAAAGAACCACTACACACTAGTTTTAAACAAACTTTTTGGGAAACTCCTCCAAACAAAAATAGTGAAATGTTGACTGCAGAACATGGTTACAGGTCCTGGGTATCAGAGGTTCCAAGAAGAATAGATAAATCTTCAGGGAATTATCCCCCTCCCCCCCACAAATAACTTCTATAGAGTCCTCTGTAACAAATGGTGACCCCATATTCGGTCAGTACACCTGAAGCCATAGGATTTTCAATGATTTTTGAAAAGTAGGTCCGTAGACTTCCAAAGCCTCTGGAAATTATGCTGTTGGTAGTGCCAGTGCGCTGGTTTTGACTATAAACAACACTATCCTGCACCATCCTCACAACTGTTCTTATGGTTGAAGCCCATCATGTCTATCCATCTTGTTGTGGGACTTCTTGTGATAGAATGGTGTTATTTTTATTTGGTTGTTTTAAAGCAGTAGCTCTTAAATTGATCATGTATTTTTTCTTTAAAACTTCATTTGCTAAATAAGCAAAAAAGGTTTTAAAATAAAACACAAATACAATGCAGACGGTATATAAATAAGAAAATGATACTAGCAATCTTTTTAATTAATCCATTAGTTCCTTTTTTATTAATCATTTTATTGGGAGCGCTTACAGATATCATAACATTCCAGAGTTCAATCACATTTGTTAATGCCTTTTTACATGCTTCTTTTTCTTAGAATTATCTGATTTTTCTGAATCGTAATAAATATCTTCAAACACCTCAACGCAGAATTTTATATTAGCTCAGAAGTTTTTATGCACTGAACGAAAACAAAAAAAATCATTTTTTGTTTGTGTTGAAAATGAAACTAAACAGTAGCAATGCTCATTTCAGACTCGTTTTCCTTCCTAAATTAACCAACTTGATTAATCCCTTAAAAATAAAAAGGGTACAAGAAATCCACATGTGAATTAAACAATTTCTACCCACGGATTAATCCTTGTACACGGTCTGCATCCTCTTGTTCTTCCTCACCCATCCCATTACAGGGTGGACGTGCAGGGAAGCCAAGAAGGGAAAATCATTCGGAAGAAAACCTAAAACCTAATGATGCCTCAGTATTATTTGCACTCATTCTCGGAGTTCAGCTAGTAAATCGTTATCTGGAGATTCTGGAGAAACCAAGTAAGAGCGACGAATCCGAGGTTGGAATGGATTCTTTAGTTCAGCACCCCCACCCCAGGTCTTCTAACACCCTCGCTGGGGAAGATACAAGGCAACGGTTTATTTATTTATTTATATTCATGATTCCAGGAAGGAATTGCCGTGCCTTCCCCAAACTTACTTTTATACACAGTTATCTAGATCTAATTTTTTCCCCTTTTAATTCTCTGTCTCCGTTGGAGGCGACGACGGGAGCAGATAAGGCAGCAAGTGGTACGCGGACTCTTCTATTTCAGTCTCTGCTCCACGCCGCGCTGGAAGTGGAGCTCCAAGCGTTATCTGGCCCGGCCACAAATTCCACATGAAAAGCAGCAAACATCCGGAATGGCTTCCTGCAAGCCTTGCTTCCCTCAACCAAGAGAAATTTACCCTGGGGG